CTCTCTCCCTAAAACTCAAACTCCATCTCTCTCTCTCTCAAACTCCATCTCTCTCTAAAACCCAAATTCCATCTCTCTCTCTAAAACTCCATCTCGCTCTCACACATAAGAAGGTGTGCTCGTGTTCGACCTCAAGCTAAATCCCTTGGCTAGTAAACTCACCGAGAAACGAAGAGAGAGAGATGAAGTTTTAGAGAGAGAGAGATGGACTTTGAATAGGGTGTCATTTTAGTGTTTGTCTGATTCAAAACTTTATGATCAAAGGCGTCCAGGGGATTGTAAGATAGAAAAGATGGAGACTTTTTGCTTACAAGTAATATTTTCAATTCTTGAGTCTCATGAGAATAAGGGATAAGGAGATATTTTCCCTTTAAAATAACCAAAACACCCTCTGTAATTCTCTAAAAATGACCAAATTACATACTGAACTAATAAGTTCTGACAATACCTTGAAAATTTCTAAAAGAAGATAAAATATTCAACAAATCCCCGGAGATAACAAAGGTACTATTAGTGTCTCAAAGATGAATTTGCTCATCAAATATCAAAGATGAGGGTTCACTTCGACTGATGAAAAGGAAACATGGTCCTAACCAAAAGAACAGAGAAAATGGCAAAAATTCACATGTTAGCTCCTAGTTTAATGCATCCATAGACTCCATGAAAAGATAGACCCTTGAACAATACTGGTCCCTCACAATTATACCCACATACAAATTACATCAGTCATGTATTTTAAGTTAAACTATTAAAATATATATAGATATTATTATCAACACATGCACACAAACATGCATCCACTGAAAGAGACATATGTATACACATACGCGCATGCACAACAGCACGGGGGCGGAGAGAGAGAGAGAGATTTTTCTTTAAACTTATAATGATTCTAGATTATAATGATCAATATTGTAACCTAGAAAAGTATTCTGAACATTTTTTTTATAAGAAAAATTCACGGGTTTCTCAAAAGTCAAAACAATCTAAGAAACATCATGAATTTTCTTAATTTTCCGAAAAAAAGAAAAGAATGGCCTGTAAATCTATTTCCATAGTGAAAGCAAATATGGAAAAAATATGAACTTCTAGAGGTAAGGCAAACTCACAGTAATGTTTGACGGGTATACACCAGTGAGTTCCCGAAACCGACAAACGCTAAAGAGAAGGTTCTCAAAGCTGTCCCTTGCATGCTCTTCAGTAAGTGCTCTCCATCTTACGCTCACTTCCTTGCCTAAGAGACCAAGAGTAACATAAATGTCATAGATGATGAGTTGTGAGAGAGCGGGAGAGAGGAAGTTTAATTGTAATTAAGCAAGAAAATAGACAGTCACCAATAAATATTACAGAAGAAATTTGGTGATCACTTAAAACTCGCTTAAAGCTAACTGCGATTAATGTTTTGGAGACTTTTTATGACTTCATTTGGATATGAAGCAAGGCAAGCTAAAAGGATGTGACAGAAGGAAATGGGTCATGGACTGAGCCTGTGTCATGGTTACATTCCCAAATCAGGCAGATATCTCACAAATAAAGGCTGGGAAGAAGATGAATTGCATAGTATGTCAAATATCTTCTTGCTATGGGCCAAAGAAGAAAACCACAGAACAGATAAAAGAATGAAGCAAAACCATTAGTCCAAGGATCAAATGGTCCATTTTATTTAAGTTCCATAGTTTGACAGAGGTACTTTCTTAGTATTTAGCCTAGTCAATCTGTCATGCTCACATTCTAGAAAACAAGAGCATAATTTTATGAACACTCACAAAAGAAAATAAAAAATAAAGAAGCAAAATATGATCACAGTTCATTCAGGTATTGATGATAAATGGTCTACATGTCATAAACAAGACACATATTAATGTGAGTCCTGGTTAAAAAATTTAACCAAGTTACATTAGGAAATAGCAACTATGATTGTGAGCTATCATGGTACCTAATGCCTGACTAAAAGTGACATAATCAAAAAGGTTACATATTTTAAGCAAAAGACAGCTTGCAAAACAAAATGATGGGGCCATCTTATCCACCAGTCAAAAGACATATAAAACGATGAGTGGAGGTGTCAGAACCAATTCAACATACATGGTTTTAGACTAAATGAACCAATTCAGTACGTTGTTATTCTTATGCTGGAATTCCCTGTATGTGCAGTTTTAATCTTGTTACCAATTAAGCAATGGTGCAGCATTTATGCTGATGTGTGAAAGTCACTTCTAGGTCATGAAGTTGTTATTAGTCATAGGATACATGGGCATCCCTATGGCATGATGCACATACAAAATTTACATTGTTGTAGAGAAGTGAGGTATCACGGGAGTAGAAGTGAAGTATCGAGAGAGTACAAAAAAAACTGAAACTGGTAATATTTGCGATCAAGAATGAACTTTTAGTGGAAGTTGAGAAACTTATAGGGAGTCATCTCCCAATTACCCAACAGAGTACTTTAAAAGTTCTCCTCTCAAATAATTTTGTAAATATTTATAAAAATGTAAGTATTGCTGAAAGTTTATGGATTTGGGGTTCATCGATACTCATTTTTTATACTTACTTTTATGATCTTGGGAATCACAGGATGGTTAAAATTTCCGCTGTTCTCCAAGTCAGAATTCAATTCTGACAGAAACATAAAGTCAGAATTGAATAATTGGAATGGTGTAATGGGAAGACAGGAAGCAATCAACAAGGTGACTTATATCTTTTCTCAGGGTATCTTTCTTACTATTATAAAACAGGGCTACAACTGCGGGAGCTACCACAAGCCATCTCATTTATCCTCCTCCAAAATTCCATTACCATCTTGTCCTTGTTTTTCTTTTCTTTGCTTCAACAAGTTAAACAATTCTTCTCCATGCGTATACCCAAAAGAATATCGACCACAAATGAATATTCCTCATGCCAGGGGTATAAATTTTACAATAATATGTATGTTTTCTTCATGTCCCACCACAACGGTACAGTCTGGCCATGCAATTATAAACTATATGGCACTCGGTTTTCATTAGCCGCATTTTAAATTAATTCTATTTCATCTCTATTTCCCTTCACATCCACATTAAATGTAAGGGAACATATCTTCTAATCACCTATTTTTAACTTCCATATCTCATGAGACCCAAGAATTGAAAATATTACTTATAAGCAAAAGGTCTCCATCTTTTCTTACAACCCCCTGGACCCTTTTGACCATAAATTTTTGACCCAAACAAACACTAAAATGACACCCTATTCAAACTCCATCTCTCTCTCTCTAAAACTCCATCTCTCTCTCTTCGTTTCTCGGTGAGTTTACCAACCAAGGGTTTAACTTGAGCTCGAACACGAGCACACGTTCTTAT